CTGATCATTTACAAGAAATAATAATTAAGAGTATATGATTTACTCTATTAGAATATTTCTGTATTTCTATTTACTTCAGAAGTGGCAGTCTTCAATCAATTCAAGTAATATGCCAAAATGGGCCCTCTTTAATCAACAGCATTGGTGATAGATCACGAACGCCTTTGCACGTTGCTGTGATAAGTGGTCATCTTGAGGCGATTCAGTATTTGCTGAATTATGGTGCTGATGCTGCGAAACGGTAAGCTCGCCCTCATTTTTTCTGCCAATATTTCTAATTTTCCATATAGCCGATATGAAGATTCAAGTATAATTATTAGCCATTAACTTAAATTTATTGTACAGTACTGCAGAAGTATGAGTGATCATTCATCGTAGGCAATTGTCATTTCGCGTTCTTCAACGATTAATTAAGCACCATATATTGCTTGCGATTAGGGACGGCAGTTATATCACGCCGATTGAAATTGCGGTCAATAAGGGCTACACAAGTATTGTTGAGCTGTTATTAAATCATGGCATTTCTCCAAATATCGCAAATTCTAAAGGGGTAGGAATCATTGTTCTTAGTATAAGATAACACTTTTATTAGATTGATTATGTTAAGATAATGGCCTTACATTATTTTCTATTTCTAATTTAATAGTTAATGAGTAAGACTTTCAAAATTGTTCGCAATTTACTTTTTTTTCATGACCCTTATTATCAATTACTATTTTCATGCGTTATGATGCCAAAAAATGTTATAGGAAACGATATTGCATACAGCCGCCGCCAGAGGATTTCATGAAATAGCAAAGCTACTTGTAGATTATGGTGCGGATACTTTAGCAACTGATGAAAATAAGAAGACCAGTTTAGATTACGCCATAGAACATAGACAAGAAATGGTTGCTATAATCCTTTTCAAGCATAAATAGTAAGCAATGAGCATAAAATTATGATTACTTCTTCATTCTATACCTATTTTAGGTAGTACAGGTATAAATCGCAATTATAGAGATTACAGTCTCAATTAATAACTGCCTTCGATATTATTGTTCGAAGAAGCAAAATCTCTTTTTAAATTCTCTATAATTAAATTGTTCACCTACATAACATTCATATTTTCGATCTACTTTGATTATAGTGGACGACAATTACTCTTAAATGTAAATAAAGACGGGATAACTACTATGCAGTACATGATAAGACACTTACCTAGTGTAGCCAAGGTAATAGCTCAAAATATTAATAGTTAAGGCTCCCGAAAGGTAACTATAAATTTAAAATTTTTTTAATGTTTGAAATGTTTTTGTGCACTGATTCATATTACTTAGATAGTCATGGATTCATGCATTGAAACTCACGTTAGAGATATAGTCAGAACAAAGAATGGCGTTGAAAAGGTAGTTAACCATCACTGTTAAATTGAAGCGTTATTTAATCCATTTCGAAATATTATAATTAAAATTAACGTATACGATTTGAGTCTGCATGGCGTAAAATTGAATTCAAAATATTTTAATAAATTACTTTGGTCTTTCGAAAATTTAAATTGGAATGGCAAAAGTAATATGTCAGGTTTAATATCAGAGACCAAATTAGAAATTAAATCGTAAGAAATACACGATATTAATTGCTAGATATGCTAACTATGTCGTGTAATATTTTATTTATATCCTAGCAAATGGAAACATCCTATGATTTCAGTTTGGTAGACCCTGGACCTGAATTTGAATTACAGGGACAGCATTTAAAAAAGAGAAATAATAATAACGCGTTAACTGTAAGCATTTATTATTGCTAAGATTACCAAATAATTTTTCGGTACGCATTGAATAAATCATATCGATTCTGAAATTCTAATAAATTTGAAACATTTAAAATAATCTTCGAAATGAAATAACAAAATTGATCGCAACATGTGTTCAGTATTATTTAACCCTATACTTCTTTGTAAGCATTGCAGTAAGAGTAAATAATTTCCCTCTTTAGAGTTACAGTAAATCAAATTCATTTATTTCATCGAAGAAGGAATTAATATCTAAATTTTATCGCTTAGACCATGATGGAATATAAAAATGTAGGTCTATTAAGACATCCGTTGGCAGAAAAATTACGAGAATTAAAGTGGTAGGTGAAGTGAACTATGATTATAAACTAATCAATTTTTGAAACTAGAAATCCATTTAGGAAGCTATCATGAATTTTATAATAAATGGTTACTAAAAAGTTCTCATATAATAGATATACCATATAAATTAAGAATATACTATATTCAATTTTATTGAAACATTTTGTAAACGGATACATAGCTCGTAGCTAATGTAACTGTGATAAAATGATCTTCAAAACAATAAATCAAGAACTACAGTTTCTTGCAAATTTCACTTTATTACAGAAGTTAGGTTCGTCTAACTTACCAAGGACTATCTGACTATCTGACAATCTACTTATTACAGCAAAATTCACGATTTATATACGATTAGTTACAGAATGCTTTTACTGTAACAAATCTTATCTTACCCATTAAATCGCAATAGACTCTTACACAATCTTACACTCTAGCTTACAAGTTAAGTTATTCTCGTACAGTCTTATAATAATAATCTAAGCTATATTTGGGGCTGCACTACAGTAACATAACAGTAGTTATGTCACTTTCTAAAAGAATCCTGATCGATTACCCTCTTTTGCAAATCCTAGGCGAAAATTTGGCCAATACTTCTACTACATCAACCTCGGTGTATATCTAATCTTTTTAATTTGCCTATCATGTTATGGAATTATTGCCGAAGACTATAGAGTATACTATATGCCAAGAGAAGCAATTCGTGGTCTAGGATTAAAGCCTGGAACTGGTATATCTAGTACAGTCTATACGGTTACACCTACGGTAGATGCTTCGTACAGCCAAGACCTTTATTCCGGTAGGTATTCCACATAAGTTATCAACATAATGTCGGGCGTTATGCGAAGAGAAGATGTCCGATTCAATAAATCTCCATCAATTAATTTACGTCATTTGACATTTTTTTATTTTAGTGTCAGTTTTTGCACCTGATTGGCTATCTTCATCGATTTCTGATAATCATCTTCAGCCTTCTAAAGGATCAGATACCAACCTCATTCGTCCATCGATATCTCATTCAATCGATTCATCACTAATGGCGCGTAAACGTCAAGGAAAGGCGTTAAGTGATCCTAATATTACACCTTCTCAAGTAGTATCTAGCACTAATCAACCATCTGCATCAATTAGCAAGACTGATGCTCCACCAACTACACAAAGCGATTTGGTAACAACATATGAGCCACTTCCAGACTCTCCGAAGAAATATTATGCGATTTTTGTAAGTTGCATTGTGTTAAAATACTGCTGAAAGCTACGCTAATAGTATGTAAATCCAAAGTTTCATCCTTTCTGTTCCCATAAATTTAATAATATCGCAACTACAATTATAATCAGAATCACATTATTTGCCGTAAATTAATCGTTTAGGATACACCAATTTATGCATTCATGGAAACATGTATGACGGTATTTGCATACATAAATGTGGTATTAGAAGCTTACCAGTTATTTCATCAGGTAAAAAAAGTAAAAAATTATATTATAAGATAGCTTTCAATAACGGAAATGAAGGATATTCCATATTTTTCGTATAGAATAAACATTCTCAGTTATATTAGATGTACGGTTTATAAATAGTTTAGCTGTTTAAGTATTACTGTAGTCATATATCATTTAACGGCAATTTGCCAAATCAATTACTTTGCAAAATACCTGAAATGCTTTAGGTATTCAGCAAAATGCCTGATTTTGTGAATTGCCGCTAACACTTTAGTTAATATAATTTGTTATTTAATAATAGATCCTATAGCTTTGCTAACAATAGTAGATTGCTGATTCGCAATATTAGCTATTGTGAATAAGCAATAGTAGTCGTTAAGTAATTACAAAGTCTATGCAAATTGATGTTCTGTATTTGTGAAGATGCCCAACATCTTATAATTTTCGACATTAATAGAAGTGTAACGTTTCATGTAAATAGTGGTGTACGATAAATACAATACCGCACATTGATCTCCTATGTTTTAGAACAAGCACTTTTTTCGAAAACTCCTATCTGATTATAATAAACTTGTTGCTGATAAATTGCTTGAACTATAACCTATCGCATCATATCGCAACAATAAAATAGTTATCCACCTTACTATCTTCAACATAGTTTAATATTTTTAAAACATACGGTAGGTGATGAATTGGCCATGTTGTTATTTCTTACTATTTCAGAGACTAAATTATTTCAAGTCGTTTTCAAATTACTTGGATATCGCCCTTTATTCATTGCTTCTGGCAGCTACAAACATCGCAAACTATGAAAATGTCCTCAATATCTATACTATACTGATATTTTTAGCCTATGTCAATTTATTATTCCATATGGAAAGGTATGATTAATTTTTTCCCCATTTCAATATAAAATAGATCTCTTTTGGTAAAATAATATTTTCATAACAATTCAGATTAGATTTCATTGGCATCTACATATTAATGCTACAATCCGTCATGGCGACTGTATTAAAAGTTTGTTTCTCATCTGAATTTTTTAATTATGATATTTGAATCCAATTATTTAGACAAGTTCCTCCTACTTAACTTTTAAATCTATTGTTGTTAGTTAGAAAGCTAGTGTTAATTTTAGTCAAGTATAAATGTATCTAGATATTATAACCGATTCTTCACTTACAAATTTCAGATATCGGGAATCGTCTTTATACTGGCCTTGGCATTCGGGATTAGCTTCTACACATTAAATCCAACACAAGTTTGCATTAATACATACAGACTCAACATAATTATTATAAGTCATATTTAGATTGAATTTCAGTATGTGTATCGATATTTTATGTCATTGATTATATTCTTACATCACTAATTGCCTGTTTATTGTTCATATATCCTTCAGTCGACCTATTACAGTATCCCCATTAGCACAGTTACAGTCCTTAACATGATGATTGGTGAAATGGAATATACTGATTCCTGGATGAGCCAGATCCAAAAAAATAAAATTCCGCTTCCTAAAAGCGTTACAGCATTAGTAATGATTGTGATATTTATATTTTTGATGCCTATCGTCCTTACGAATTTAATGGTAAATTTATGATGACGATTCTGCTTTAAGAAGTTGAAATCACAGGTAACGTACATATTTAATTATCTTTAATAGGTTGGTCTAGCTGTCGGTGATATTGATAAAGTAAGGCGAGAAGCAGGATTTCGATTGTTATCATCGCGCGTAGAATATTTGGATGATCTCGAAAGGACATTGCCGTTAAGATTTAGAAATCGTTTTTATAAGCGAGGCCACACGGACAAATATACCAAAAAACTGAACCAGGTAAATATGACGAAAATACGATTTGTCCTCATTATTGCTTAGTTTAGACTCTACTAGAAATAATGGTGCAAATACTGTGGGCCATTAGTTAAACCAGTCGAGCTATAAACTCACAGAAATACGTATATGTTATCGCTTTAGGCCGATAATAAGAACATGGAGTCTACCAGTGCTATTAATAAATCTGATATTACATCAGCGGATCCCAAATTTGTATCAGCAATTGAACGAATAGGCAATCAAGAAAAAAGGTGCGAGGTTTCTTAAGTTTAGTTATTATTAGTGCCAGGTACTTGCACGCTTTAAATTCTAAATCAATTTATTCTGTTAAAGCATAATTTATTAACAAGATAAGAAGTTGCAAACAATAAAGGACATTGAATCATATCTTAAATAATCTTTGGATTCAAATTCAACATCGTATTTTTAAATTTTTTAGAATTGAATTTTTAACAGAACAATTCATGGCTTTTAGAGAAGATGTCATGAAATCTTTTAAGAAAATTGATGAAGCATTAAACATTGATCAAATTTAATTCAGTAATTTGTTAGATAGCCAATTCAAATTATTACATACAATGGGCTGAGACGGATTAAATGACATAAAAACATCGCTAATTAGGTCAATTCGTACTCTAAAATTAACGTGGTTATTATTTGCATGATCTACTCCTTGACAAGAGCAAATACTATTTTACCGAATTAATTGATGAACAGCGTTAATACAGCAATTTATTCGAAATTTATACATTTAATACTAGGTATTTTAAGATTACTATTTAATTTAAAGACGCAAATTACTTAGCCATTTAATCACAAAATATTGTACAACTTAATTTAATGGCTAATTCGTTCTCATTATGCACACTTTTTTACGTTATTGTCATATTTAATGAATAAAAATTCTGCATAAAACTGACAACGATAATCATACATTGCTTATCTGCTATAATTCAATATACTTAGAGCATGCATGTGCCAGCAATTACCTAGATCTGAAGATCTAACAACGCTGCATAAAGTAATGTAGTAGAAAATTAAGATAGATTCAAAATATAAATATAGTAAACAGAAGAATATCACGAGGAAGCTGTTAAAATGGACAATTTATTTGCTATTGAAATCACATTTGGATTGCATTAATTTTATTACAGGAAAGTATCACATCGACATCTTACAACTTCTATAAGTAAGGGAGCTTTACATGAGCATGTTTTCGATTACATGATGCATTAAGTTCAGGAATTAGGCTGGTTTTGAGAATCGTATCGTTTTTATACTTTAATTATAGGATAATGCCACTGGCATTATCTAATGTACTGGAATAATCTCAGCTATAATAAATTATGGCCACGATGGAATAGAAGATAATGGTATCATAACATCACTGGCCTTGCGTGATGCAGCCAAGAAATTTTAATCATAATAAATCATGACCATTACGAGAGTTTAAGATACTTTTTACAATTACATGAACTTCGAATTAAAGCAAGATCAGGTAAGAGAAATAAGGCTGACGACACAATTACAAAATTAAATAAAAATACCCTCTATTTACCCATTGCCAACATATCTATTCAAACATAAACAATTTTCAATTTTGGCATTACGTATTATTGAGAAAAGAAATGACGGTCATAACATTAATGTTTAAATGTTTCCATTTGATTTCGCTTTATTTTTGTGATGGACTTTACTCGTGCACTGCATTGGTCGAATGAAAACCTTTCAATTTATATTGACCTGTAAATGTCTTCACGAAAGTGATAGGAAATAGCCAATTCAATTAAAGACAATCCAAATTGATAGTAAATACTTGTTAGTTAGCTTTGACTTTCCAATTCACATCTGACGAAATTCAGCTACCCTCAATTGCTTTGTTCGCCCAACTTGGCATGGATATCTTACCATTTTTAATACAATTTTCCTCAATTTGATGTGCGAACGAGCATACATAATTGGCATGCAAGCAAATAAAATAGAAAGGAAAATGCAACCCATCGCAAAAAATATCCCATCACTTGCTCCCGATTCACTTTCCTTTCCTATTGCTTTGAATATTGCCGATCTATTCAATAGTGATAAATTTGTACTTGTCTGTGATGAAAACCATCCTGCAGTTGTAAAGTTACTGGTTACATCCGTATTTTCAGCAGTAGGTTTTGGAAAAGTTATCAACAAAAATGATGCCGAATATGGAGATACACATAAAATATAGAGTATCGTTGTGATTGCAAATGTTCGAACGATTGATTTCTGTCGCCGATCATAATAATGAAATTGTGAAGTTGCACGTCGACCTGGTGATACAATTTCAATTCGATTTTTATGCTGACGATACAATTTAAACATAATTCTTGCATAACAATAACAGATGATAATACAAGGTAAGATAAAGCATAATATAACATGAGTATAAGTGTAAGCAGAAATAAAAGACTGCAAACTTTCAAAAGTGCTGAATTCACATATAATAATTTTATTACGAGTGTTCGTGCTTATGACTAAAATTGTATAAGGCAAACAAATTGCAGTAGCGGATAACCACATCATACTGATTATGATATATAATTTTCGCCATGTCATGCATTGCTTTTGCATTGAAATGACAGCTCGATAATGTCCAACGCTAATCAAGGTTAATATAAAAGTAATGACATTGGTAGAAATAAGAAGAATGGAGACACAAACTTGACAATATGGTATACTCGTATACGATGCAACACTTAAATTGGAGACGTTATGCAAGTAGGTAGAGTTCTCACTCAAATTATAATTTGTAGAGAACGACACATTTTGATAAGATTTTGACAAACTTGTATAATGTCGATTGATAATTTGAAATATAAACGACGTGAAGAAAAAAATTGCACTTGCAATGGATAAGTGACTAATCTGAAAGTAAGGTAATGTATGTAGCTCTTTTTTTTTTCGAATAATAAGAATGATTGAACAATTTCCAAACATTCCAAATACATTAATTAAAGTTATCATAACAGTAGTAATCGCGTAGTATGTATTAGAGCTATCCGATCGACTAAGATTACCTTGTGTGTCATTAACAGAAACTAGATTGGATACCGGTGTGATATTCATGATGATAGAATGGCGTTGAGATCTTTTCGCTTTAAATTGTTTATTTTATTATGAGTTTGATAAAGTAGAACTGAGGCTAATTATACAGCCCACCCTATAAAGGAATAGTGATTAATCCAGTTCTTTGCAATACATTTAATAGGATAACAGCAATGGTTTTATTCCAAGAATTAATAACGAATATTTTAAAAGACGAAGAAAGAGGATAATACTGCCAAGTCAGAAAGCTCAGAGTTATAAAGTTGATGCTGCTCCCCTATAGATATTCCGATAAATTGTAGGAAATCTATAAATTAGAATCATACAATAATATCAGTCAAGGTTACAATCTTTAATAATCCGCTGACAATAAAAGAATCAGTCTCAATAGCATTTTCATTCTTGATTAAATTCATATCTGAAATCTCGATGAAATATTACGTTAATAAAATTACTCAAAACGAACCAGCTTTAGCAAATTTAGCACTGAATAGATTAATTAACAGCAGGCCAACTACTGTCAAAAACTGACGAGCAGCTACAAATATAAACAGGAAAATGTCTTCACTCGCTATGTTATTTTATTTCGATCATCTTGAAATTAATTAACTTAGTCGCTTAAAATTAAGAGTCACGTTTTCCGTATTAAAGTAAACAGGAAATTACTGAAAACTGACAAGAAAAGTGGATCATTATCAGTGTCAGATCCATTGTAATCAGAGTAATTACTTTTATAGAATAATTGAATATCTTAGGGCATTGGTACCTAATATAATCAAGAATTTTAGTCGGAAATACAATCCAAAGCGATCATCTGACCTTATTCTAAGAAAATTCCATGATCTGAATCAATAAGAAAATCTTGATTGCTGATCCATGTATTATGAAATTTTTGATTTTTTAGAATACGGTTGAATCTTCATTGTAATTATAGAGTTATTAAAAGTTGACATTGGTAGGTATGTATATAAAGATTTTACAAAGCTACATTAAGCTAAAACAATCTGCAGCAATTGCTTCTATTCTCAGACTTTAGCACAAAACCAAGGAAGACGCGTGCCATTAAAATAAAATCAAACATGGTCATAATAAATTAGTTGCTATCAGTATTTTATCAAGTGCAACGGATTGGGTAACACAGACATGCTACACCATACTATATTTGATATTGACGGTCAATATTATTGCTATTATCGTAAGCTAAGATTAGAATTTGCAGATATTGATGCTATATAGGGAAAAATTAAATCGGTGGTTAATCAATGAATGCCGGTGTCTCATAGCATTTTTAAAAGAAAAGTTGCTATAACAGAAGTCAAAGTTGTTTTAATCGTTCATTTGTCGGGCTGCTGCGCAAGTTGTAAAATGTAAAATTAAACATCTTACAAAAATTGCCTGGGCTGCCGATTCTTGCCAGTTGTTTATAAGTGATATTCTCGTAGATTTTAGATTTTTGTTGAAATGAAGACAAATTCAATATTAAAGCATAAAAATAATAACGGCGATAGTCTGCGATACATCTATCCTTGGCCAATTTAATTTAAGTCTGTTCGTTTCGGCCAGTCTATAAAACATTTGACCTTTAACCTAATTCTTTTAGTATTGATAATGGCAGAATTTCAACTTCTAAAGATTGTAGACAATGCTAAAAGCGTAAATCTAACACTCAAACTGATTCATATCAGTCATATGCTCAAGCTTACAAAGACAGTTTAAGGTTTCTATAGATGAAAGTAGACGACTAATAGAATATAATCTTCCTGTTACGTAAATACATTTCCGATATTAAGGTTTTGATTTAGTAGTTCTTTCATCATGATCATGTAAGTCTATAAATTAAGATACGTATGCCGATTGAGTCATTAAGCGGATGTAATAGGAATTCTGTCAGTAATATTAAATGGCCTTAGATAAGATAAATGTTCAGACAGGAATTCTTGCTAGCTCATACTAAGAGCTATATTTTTTAAATTGTAATCTTTTCTTGTAGTACTTAAGTTAATAATGCAGTTTGGCTAAGTTACAATCTGTCATGTTTGTAAGCTATAGCGGCACTGACCTCTTTCGATTGAATGTCAGTTGTTCACCTGCTTTATGCCATCTTATTCTAAGTCTAAGTATAAAAGCTAGTTGCTGTTGGTAGTTTTTGCTTTTTCTTTTTGTTATAGATTGCTAGTAAGAACTACTAAAATAAAGTCGTAACCTAAAGTAAGCGGTACTTTTTGCGACCGTTCTTTTGAGTCTATCTAGGAAGGTTGTTCTAGATAGTTTATATAACCACTTAGACAGCTATGACACTGTCAAAAGCGTAGAGGAAACATTCTTCCGCTAAAGTCACTGTTGTTATGGTGGATCCATAAAAATTGAACAGAGATGATAAATAATTATAATCTGTATCGACAGCAATATTTACATATATCTCTCAGCATAGCTGCTAGGGCCTTGCTATTTACACTTGTAC